AAGTTTTTGATAAAGAAGGAATGGCTTAGAGGCTCTGTTGGATTCCTATTGCCAGTGCTTGGAGAAAGATAGAGCAACACACTACACACTTTGGACTTTGGGGGTCCAGATTATTATTTTGTCTGAACACAAATAAATTTAACATATTTCAGGGTGCTCCAGGGACTCTCCTTTATCAGGGCTCTGAAAGGAGTTGGTAAGAGGGAAAATGGACTGAAAAGTAATGAAAGTATTACTGTGAATTTCCCTCCTTTAACATGAGCATATGTGGCATAGCCTCTCCATGAAACCCAACCCTTTAATTAGTGGAGTACATGATGGATGCACTACTCATGTCAACATATGACTGGCCCAACTGTAAGCCATAATGCTTACCATGTTGTAAATCTCACAATAACCTGAATGCACTTGTTTGGCGTTTAGATTTGATGTGTTTGCCATTGAGCAGTTTGTCAATGATCAACTTTGTAGGATTATAAAAAAGCAACCTGATTCCTTTAGAAAGAGTACCATTGAAAATATTATGCACATGCTTTAAGATCACTGTCTGTATTGCAAACAATCAAATCAACATTTGAATTCTCATACTTATTCCAGTGCCAGTTTTGATTGTTTCTCTGGCTATATGATATCACTGAGACTTCTAATTTGAGATCTATTAATAAATAAGCCTGGCATCCAGTAAAATCTGACAAAATTCCCATAACAATCAATAATATTTTCCCTTTCATACACTGGTTGCAGTATGCAGAAATGAAAGGATAAATCTGGTTGCTATAGGCAACAAGATACAATTATTTGTGAGGTGTGATAGTCAACCTTGCTGTAAAGGTTGTGGCTATAGACAATTTGCCTGTGTTTCTGGGTGTCAGAACAGCCCATTAACCAGGAAGACATGACCGGCCTGTCGGGCCATGTAGCTTTCCTGCATTTGGTCTTTCTTTCTCACGACGTGTGCAGTAAATATGCTGGCAATTTCCTTTCAGCATCCTTCCCTTGTGCCTCTCTTACCTCAAACACCCACCCTGCTCTTTTACCAAATCAATCAGACTGAGTTAAAGGGGAATTTGAAGTAAACAATCTCCCTTCCCCCCCTCCAGCTACTCTCCCGGAGGAATGCAGGAAGCAACAAAGAGGGTCTTTGTGGGACCTAACTCACTGAACCGATGTCCCCCCCATTCTGCCTCCTGCCTGGGTCTTCCTTTTCTTCCCTGCCAACTTTACCGGGAAGGATACACAGGGCAGGAATGTGCACAGTCAGCACAAGCTCCAGAGAACAAACTCTTATCAGCTGTTCATGGGGATGAAAGCTCGCTTCTTTCTTAATGTTTTCTACTAGAGACAGCTGTGACACCTAGATAATTAAATACGCCACACTGTAAATGATGACGTCATAAATTAAAGCTCAGGTCATAAGTGTCATAGCATAACAGACTTTTTTTTAGCTTCTAGTAGCTGATAGCTACTAGAAGCTAATAGCTTTTAGTTCTACACTGTATATTTGAAAGTATTAGATCAGGGCATATCGACACCCCCAAACCAGATATGTGCATGATTCCCCCCTCCTTCACTAGTAACCCTTAGGACCAATGTCAATAGGCTTTGTTTGTGTCAAGCGGGATTTTGCATTCCCGTACAAATAGAAGGGAATACAAAACCCGCTTAAACCAGGTCAAAAGTTGTCAATACATTTGAAATGATTCCAAACTGTTGCCATCAACACTAAGCCCATAGCCCATCGATATAAGGTCACAAACACAGACATGGCTCTAGTATATTGATTAAGTCCCACTACTCTGTAGAAGAGATGCCAACAATCCTACTAGAAAAGAAGGGACAACGTTAGATGAAGGTCGGGCATCATCAAGAGATATTCTAGTGGATTAAACTATAACATGTAGTTACATTTAAATACTAGGTCTGATTAAAATAGATGTAAACCCAATAACTATAATTATAGAAGCTTTGATATGTTAAAGTAATTTCAAACTTAATTTTCAATATCTTCAAACCTGTAGCTTTCATTAAAATAATTCCTAGTGACATACCTCACAACTGTCCCTCATTTGGAGGGGCCATCTCTCTTTTGGAACCAAGCCCTTCTGTCCCACTTTCCCTGTCAGTTGTCCCTTTTTTTGGTTTGATTAAAAAAAAATGCCAGTTGTTTATGATGCACAATGTTTTAGCAAACTGTATGTCATTCATTTAGGCTTTACATTTACGATGCAGTACAAACACTCCCATCTGATATCAGTCTAAAGATAAAAGAAAGAAATAACAGGATTCCGCTACAACTGATGTTTTTTATTAGCTGGAGATTGCAGGTTAAGGATATTGGAGGAATAGAACAATATTATCTACTGAAAACAAAGGGTGTCTCTGCTAATAGTGTACAGCTGGCAATCCTACTGTGCAAACAGGAACAACTTCTACTCCCACGACTGATGGCTGGCTTTGCTACGGGTACAAGTACAATGCTACAATTTCTTGAGACAGTTACAAGTCTCTGTGTTCTGTGTAGCCAGTCGTAATAATTAACAAAGTCCATGATCTGCTGCTGAAGAATAGGGGCAAGGGGCTGGTAACAGCTACACACAGTCAACGCCTAAGAGGCTTCAAAAGCTTATCAGAATCGCAGCTATGGGATTGTGGAAGAGATGTTTTTCTGCACTCAGCTTATTTCCTGTTCATTCAGCTTTCTTCCAACTTATTGAGGCTCACAAAATAATAGACTGCCATAACAATTGTTCTCACAGTGTTCAAAAACCCAATCTGCATACAGTGTGTAAAAACATCTAAATATCTGTGCAAATGTAATCAACAACTTGTATAATCTGTGTTGGTGGCCCATTCATTGACAGTAAGGCCCTGATCACATGGTGTTCCGATCAGATCTACCTGTCAGTTTTTAAGGCTAACCTGATCGGAAGTGCAATGGTAGTCTATGGGCAGTCGAATGTAAACAGATGTGTGTCCATTTACATCCAATTACCTCTGAGTCTGTCCGTCTAGGTCTGAAAACATTTTTAAAAGAGTTCCAATTTGGTAGATCTAAATGTGACCGATCAGAGGTTGTTGGATATAAATGGACACATGTACACTTATATCTGAATCCCTGTAGACCTAACATGGGGTCTGTATCGCTCAGTTTTTTCCTCCATTGCAAGATGGAAGAAAAAACTGAACAGACACACGTCACATAAGTGACCATTGCACACTGCTCCTATCAGCAGGGGATCTGTGCACGGATCCCCTGTTGATCAGATTGGACACCGCCCATATGAAATGGGCCTAAGGATCATTTTCCTTTTCATATTTCTTAACTTTTTAATTTGATTAAGGAAATAATCTGCAAGTTCAATAATGAACTGAAGACACACGCAAACAAACATTTGCTGACTCTACAATCCAAACAGGACTTTAGGGGGAAATTGGAAATCTATATCCTTTGGTAGCTCCGCCTCATTCCATACCTGTTGGTTGTCCTTCCACATTTCTTCTCCCCCACAGTGCTTTTCTAGGCTTCCCCACTGAACACTGTGCATTCCTGCATAGGTTTCTTAGTATTGGAAGCAGAAGGAAGCAGTTAATGGGCCATGCTGCAACATTGTCTCCTGCGGCAAACCCATCAGCCATTTAAGTCATGACTTTACTAGCTTTGGAGCGAAGCCTCACCTGCTGGAGCTAAGCCCCATCGACCATACCCCCATGCAATGAGAGCTCCTCATTGGTCAATAAGTGTGCTGCCAAAGGACAAGAGTATTATTTGTGAGTGGCTTAGCTCTAGGAATGAGGATTAGCTCTGCACAGTTGAACCCCTAGTAACAAAATGAAACTAGGCTTTTCTGGTTAATACAAGTAATAGCAGACACTTTCTGGTAGGATCTTTACTTTCAAGAAAAAAGATAAATATGGCTGACAGGTTCACTTTAGCAAAAGGCTCTGACTTTCTAAGAACAGCCCTAGCAGAGGCGCCTGGAGCAGATGAGGGTTCGATTTCAACTGGAAATCGCTTTGATAAACAGGGCCAAGTCAGATATAATCTGACCCAGAGGGTAACACAACAGTCTAATCAATCAGGATTTGATGTCATTGTGGCATACTGACATGAAAGTCATATATGAAACTCTTAGCAAAACAACTCCAGCTACGATATTTATTTAAACACTGCAAAGCATTAACGCGATTTTAGTAGACAGCTGACACTTTCCGAGAGAAGGAATTCCAGCATAGGGTTGGTTAAATTCCTAGGATGATCGCTCAAGAAAAATGCTGAAACTATGTCTGGAACTGAAAGGGTTAAGCTGGACACAACTTCAGCAACTCTACTGCAATGCATCCTAGAATGTTTGTGATCTTCTCTATGGACTCTTCTGTTTGTTTCTTAGCAGGGTGCCAACCCTGGAAACACTACACCACCAGCCGTTGTCAGTTTGTGACATTCAATATATGTTAGTATTTGTTTCATTGTAAACATGCACGATTGTGTTAAAGTGTATCTAAACCCAAACAAAAATGTAATATAGCGTGCCAGTCCTTAGATGTGGTGGCTGCATTCGTTTTCTTTTTACTGGCTTTTTTCCCTTCATTTTTATCCTGTCGGTAGCACACTTCCAATTCTAGGGTGCCAACAGTCATTCATCCTTCTGTATTAGGACAACAGAAACAGGACAGGACTACAGAACACCCCCTTCCCTCCATGACATACATGGGTGGGGTTCAGTAATCCTCAGATAAATGAGAGAGAGCACAGGAAGTTTTCAGCTCACCGGATTTCTGACAAGATCAACGGGTAATTGTTTTGTATTTATCGAATAGATGTAACAAAATGCTTTCAGAGGTATATTTAACAGACCAAAAGGGACCATATAGGAGAAGTTCATTGTTAGAGTTTACATACTCTTTAATTTTTTTAATACACACAATACATGTAATGGTAAAGAATGACACAAACAATGATGAAGAAAATGAATGATGAAGATTGATGGATGGGTACTTACTGTAGGTTGACTTACCGAAGTAGAAGCCTCGGTCGCCACACACGAATTGCAACGTGTCTACCAGTTCTCCACCACAGAGGGTCTCGCCCAGGATAAATACTTTAGATGACTCTGCTGTGTATGCTATGAAGGCGTATAGGAGTAGAAGAGCATGTCGGGGGACTGGCACTCCTGGCAGCTGGAAGTATAAAAGATTGTACAGTTTAGTTTATGGCAGAGCAAACAGAAAGAATAGCATTTATTTCCTATTTACAGCAGAAAAAAATAACAATGTAATTCCCCAAATATTTTTTATTTTCACATTAAACCAAAATTCAGACCCATTATTGTAACCCTATGTAATAGTATGTAAAAAATCACTGAACGCATGCTGATTCTGAGTCAACAAAACTAGATTTCATTACTGAGATCTACAGTGAAAAAATTGAGAACAAATTTAGAGGTCATCATAGCAACGTCTCAGGCACGTCTTCCTCCTTCAGGTTTCTTCTTCTAAAAACCACAGTTTAATATTTACAGAGTCGATGATTTACACAGCGCTTTACATACCACACATTCACATCAGTCCCTGCCCTCCGGCGCTTAGAATCTAAGAGCCTTATCTCACATGCATGCAAGGGCCGTTTTAGACTGGAGCCATTTTACCTTCCACCATGTCTTTGGACTGTTGGAGAAAACCAGAATACCCAAAGGAAACCCATGGAAGCACAGGGAGAACATGCAAACTCCATGCAGATAGTGTCCTGACCAGGATACAAACTGGGGACCCCCAGTGCTGCAAGGCAGAAGTGCTAACCACTAAGCCTGCAGCCTTTTAAATTGGCATCTGTAGTGATCATACTTATTACCCTTCAGGATCCCTTCAATTTTATCAGTCCAGTTAACACTTAATTCAATAGTTCCAGTTAACACTTAAACATGGTATCCAGTCCTGATGAAGGGGGACCCTTTGAACCCCGTAAATGCATTGGACTTTTTTGATAAAAGATTCTAAATACAATTAAATCTGGACTTTTGCTTTTGCCACTTCAGTCCCCGCTCCTAGGAGAGCTGCCTAAGGGTAATTATTCTCACTAAACTGCTTAAGACCTGACAATACCCACCACTATAGGAGGTGCAGCACCTCATACCTTATTCTACTTCCTCCTCTGGTTCATGGCCAGCTTTATACTTTTATAAATTAAAGCATATCTGCCACCAAACACTGTTTAGTTTTGAATAGTGTGGAGAAGGGTTAGGTGATCTGGCCATTTGTTCTCTTGCAATTTTTTGGTATCACCGTAGGCCATGCACCCTCCTGTTGGCATTAAAGGTGAATGTGCGAGATGGATTTGTGTCACACTTTGTTGTGCTGTCTGTGTCTCACCCTTTGGAGATTTCCCTTCACATTCTGTCCCAGTGACAATGTTGACAGGAAGTGTTGGAAAATCTCCTCAATGAGACCTCTAGTAATAAAATACACCTGATACAGATTCTAACACTTCTCTAACCCTTCTTCTCATTTAAAAACTAAAGAAGTGTTGGCTGGAACAGCTGCAATGGCTTGGCATGTATGAATGTGATCACTAGTATGCTATCATAGCTCCAAACTGTCCTTCATTTGGAGGGACTCTCCCTCTTATGGACCCAAATCCCTTTTCCCCTTTACTCTGCAGGTTGTCCCTCCTTTTGGTCTTAAGTGTCGACTTCTAAATAAAAATTTATTATCTAACTACATCATTTGTTAAACTACACTGAACCTTTTATTACAACCTCTACATTATTGCATTATGCACTACCTGACCCCCCCCAAAAAAATCAGACTCTAATATTTCGTTTGACCACTTTTACCTTTAAATATATGGCACGCATTCACCATGGCATCATTTTAATAAGCTTATGCAATGTCACAACATTTATTTCCATGCAGAGTTGCATTATTTTTTCACCAAGATCTTGTAGTGATGATGTAGAGACTGTGTAAAGTCTTCTCCAGAATATCCCAAGGATTCTCAATTGGGTTAAGGTCTGGACTCTATGGTGGACAATGCATGTGTGAAAATGATGTCTCATGCTCCCTGAAACACACTTTCACAATTTAAGCCCAATGAAGCATTGTCTTTTTGGAATATGCCCGTGCCATCAGGGAAGAAAAAAATCCACTGATGGAAAAACCTGATCATTCAGTATATTCAGGTAGGCAGCATTTTTTTGGGGGGGCATAACATGCAGAACCTAAACTTATTATCCATTGTAAGGTTCTTACCTATTTGCTTAGCTAATTCCAGGTGGTGACTTTTTTTTGGCCAGGCAGTGTATTTTGAAAAGTCAGTATGAATAAAAAAGTAGCTATGGAAAAAAAACACCTGTGAGTTGAACCAATTATTTTTTATATTTTAATTCATTATAAGCTATGTAACCAGGGAGCATTGTAGGAATTTATCACTTGCCTACACACTTTGCATTGAAAGATATCCCTCTTTCTCATATCAGATAGTTGGAATGGTTCTTGAATAGGAGCAGTTACAGTCACTTGAACAAGTAACAGCAATAATAACGTGGGTGTTCATTTCCATCTTTATTTAGCTACACCATGTAAGGTCTGTAAAGCCAACTTCACACACTGTATACACATTGTGCTAAAGAGATTCTCATTATTCAAAATGATTGATGTCCCCCTTACATAGAAATAGTTTACCCTGAACTCTACCGCTAATATATTACTAGAGCCAGCCTTAATGCAAAGGCAGTGACTTCACTGGAAACAATGCTGTTAATGCTCTCATCTGTTTATTTTATACAAAGGAAATGTCCTCTAGGCCTTGGTCTTTTTTATCCTAGCAATTTTATAATTGTTTCAGGAAGATACAGATAGCCATAACTCAACTGCCTTGATAGCCATGTAGAAACAGGAAACACAGACAGTGCGCGGCGCAGTATGGAAGTTGTATTGTTCCGTTATTTATTACACAAGCTTTACACACTAATCCACAAACTTCTGAACCCTATCAGCGCCCAACCAGATAAATTTAGCTACCGTCTCCAACTTGTATTCTTTCTATTAATACTCTAAAGACAATACAAATCTGTCCAAGTACCTAGGCAAACATTTACATTGTTCTCATAAATTTGAGCTGTCAACCTTCTGCTGGGTGTTCTGATTCACTGCAGTTCATGTGCAGACTTCATACTAAGAGGGTTATTAACTAAAGGGTGAAGAGTTTGGAGAAGGCAGGAGAAGTGAACAGTCTAGGTCAACATTCTCCAATTCAGCTCACTTTCTAGTTCAGCTATGTTGACATAGATTGTTCACTTCTCCTGCCACCTTCGAACTCTTTACTCGTTAGTGAATAACCCCATAAGTGTAGGCTTTGCACACATAGGTGCTGGAAAAAGAATGACAGTGCTTCTATAAACCTTTGGTCAGTGACACCTGTGTCAGACACAATTGAGTAAAGAGTTCTAGAAATTAATCAAAATGGAGTACCTGAGTTGCAAAATGCAACTTAAACTAGTTGCAATAAAAAAAAATGTATTAATGAATTCAATAATTTCTGTCTTTTATATCTGCCTGGATGGTGTGCTTTCTTACATATTCAAGTAAGGGTACACAAACCTCTTGTATTTAGACAATTCTTGTGCAGGCCTCATTACAAATTTAAGGACCTTTTTGAAAAACTGTCTATATTGCCTACAAGCTTAACATTTCATTCTACCTAGAATTCAAGCACAGGTATGGAAAAAAGCAGGAGATGCTGGATGACTGCTATGGGCAACAGGTGCGCGGCTATTTTCAGTCCATTCTCATATATGACACCCGCTGTATTTTCTGATTGCAACCTTTAAAATCAATTGAAACAAACTCCCACAACAGCAAACCCTTAGCCTTTCACGAAAGACAACAGCACAAAAATGCAGCATAACAATAAAAACATAGTTCTAAATTCTTGTAGAGAAGAGTTAACATCGCAGGGCATGCATCTCAACCCTGAAATCTCCCTAGGCAGCATACAGATGTTTTTCACATGGCAGCATCTGCTAACATGCATTTTTTGAAATACAGACGGTACACCTTTAAGCACTTAGATGTATTATTCAGTTCTCAGCAGAAGTGAGTGACTTCAGGTTTAAATAAACAGGACCGTGTCCCAGTAGGTTAGGAGGCCTGAAATTACTTCCTTAAATCAATATCTGTGATGCAAAGCAAAATCTATTGAGAATTTCACAATAATATATGTGACCCAGTAAAACAATGTAAATAAACTGATTTAAATATTGTTTAAACTGAGTAAATGACCTCTAGAGCTACGTGTTTTGCAAACAGGATAGTTTAATAGTAAGTTTACGTTTAGTAATCCCAAACATACATTTCACTGAGGTTATGGCAGTGAAAAATAGAGCCCACCCACATGACAGTATTATTATTGTTATTATTATTATTATTATTATACAGGATTTATATCGAGCCAACAGTTTGCACAGTGCTTTACAAAATGAAGGGAGACAGTGCAGTTACAATACAATTTTAATACAGGAGTGTTAGCAGGGTCCAGCTCACAAGAGCTGACAATCTAGAAGAAGGGGCAAGTGATACAAAAGGTAATAATTATGTGGGATGAGTTCATGGAAGAAGTAAAAGGACAGTTACTATGTTGAATTGGGATAGGCTTCCCTGAAGAGATGTGTTTTCAAGGATCTCCTAAAGGTGGACATTGAGACATGCATACCTTACCAACCCTTACCTACAGTATATTGTTCTAGTGTAAATAACTGATTGTCATGGGGGCTACAGCTACAGCACAGACACTTCTGAACAGAAGTTCCCAGCTTCACCCACCTTTTAATGTTATTACAAGAGGGCCTCTTTCTATAATATGGAGAATGAAGCAGAGAGATGGCGATACCATGGCGGGGGTAAGGTCAGGGAACACTGAACGTTGAAAGAAAACGGGGGGTAAACCTTCCCAACTTTCTGAAATGAAAAGAGGGACACCCTTAGCCCCACAGCTTTTAGGAAAAATACAGTTCCTTATGCTTCCATTATTCCAAACAAAACAGAAAGTCCATCAATACTTAAAACAACACAAGGTTTGGGCATCTACAGATATCTCTTATGACCCAATCATTAAAAAAATGCCCTTTCATCATATTTGAACAGATAGGCCCATATCACACTGGCAATTTTGTAGGTAGTCACCT